CGGACGCGCATCCTTCCTACCGCAGCCTCGCGCCTCCCCCGCCTCCTCTTTCCGTCCTTTAGGCTGTGGGGGGGCGGGGGGCATGCGGGCACGCCGGGGCCTATTGAGGGGCATCCGGGTCAGCCCCCCTCCCCAGCCCCGAGCCCGGCCCTACGCTGTTTCCCCCCAGCTGCCCCTCCTTCTGTCCCTGAAGACAACCCACTGTCCCAGCTGCTTAAGGGGGAGCGTTTGCCCTACCGACCAATGTGGGCAGCAGCGCCCTTTTGGTGGGGAGGCTGGGTCAGGCGGCCTCTGGTGGGGGTGACCCGAGGTGGTCTCAGGCGCAGTGGAGGGGGCGGCCAGTTTCCGTCCCCCCCAGCTCAGACGGAAGACGTTGGCACCCAGCACTGGGGACAAGGGGTTGGCAAGGGACGAGGAAGACCAGCTGGGGAGCCCAACCCGGGGGCTCCAGTCACAACAGCCCCATTTATGGTGGCTGCTCTGTTTACTGAAAGCAGGGTGACCCCTTCAGCCACAAACGAGGAGAGGCCCTTTGGATGTAACCTGCCCCCAGTAACAGGCTTTCCTCCAGTAAGAGAGAACGGTGGTGGCGGCTGCAGCGGGACCTCCCCCAGGCGCCCTGCACCCGAACAACGGCATCCCGCTCTTTGGCCGTGCTGGAGCTGGACATCCGGAGGCAGCCCCTGTCCAACTGGCTCCAGCTGCTGCTGTCCTACGGGCAGGCCAAGGGGTCATCTGGGCAGGCAGACCGAGGCCCCCGAGTGTCCTCTGGGGCCTCTCAAGTAGGCAGAGCTACACACAACCCACATTGCACCCACCTGAGAGCAAAGGAGTACGAACGGGGTCTGGCCAGCCCCCTCATGCTGCCAATCCCTTTCACACACCTGTGCCTCCAGGTCAGTTCTGCTGTTGAGCCTTGCTGAAAGCAGTGCCTTAAAAGTGCGTTTAATAGGCCAGTTTTTCCAATTCCTGGTGAGTCTCAGCACATCTGGAGCAGATCTGCCTGGGAAGAGCTGAGAGGGTGTGCCTTCGGCATAGGGGACCTTGGGAGAGATTTGTTGGGCCAAAGGGGACATAATCTGGCACAGCAAGTGATTCTCAGCATCTTCAAGTTCATTATTCCTTTTTGCAGGTATTTCTACACCGGTTCTCATTGCAAAGAATCCCAAAGTGGTTTAGAAATCCTAAAAACCTGTTGAAATAAAACCATAAAGAACAGGATTGAAAATGATCTGGATAAAAACCAGCCAGAACCAAGGAGGCATTGCAGAAAGTGATACAGTACTAAGATAGAGAAGGTGCCTCAAATATAGCAGCACTGGGGCCTTGTAGAGGGATCCCCCTCCACAAAACAGAGGCCCCCACAAAGCCTGCCCTCCCCAAACAGAAATTTGCATCCTGTCAAACTGTAATTTCTAAGTTTTGGGGGGGAAACATTTGAATTGGTAGAAACAGATCCAAGCGCGAGAACAGCTCCGGTGCCCAGGCCTTTAGAACGCCTGGATCTGGAGGCTCTTCTTAAGGTTTCAATGTCCTTCCATACCCTGAAGCTTGGCATTATGAAGGCCCGTCTACCTGGGCTTCCTTCCTCTTTGGCCCTCTGAAGATCGTGTCCATTTGCGCCCTCCTCCAAAGAGTGGGGTGAATCAGAATGTCAGGAAGGAAAAGGGTGGAGGAGGTCTGCTCCCTTCTGCCAGAGAAAGACCTCCTGTTCAATGGCCAGAGCTGGATTTCCAGTTTCACTCACTTGTCTTCTCTCTTCTCCTTCTTAGTCAAGGAGAGTTGAGGGTGCTGCAGGAAGCCATTTCCCTTCTCCTATCTCTTGGAGAACAGAAAATGCTACCCAAGTTAGCCACACTCGTGGTGGTCCTCCTCATCCTGCCGTTGCCCCTTAGCAGTACCCAGGTAAGAGGACACAGAGTGAGGCTGAGAAAAGACGATGCCCGCCAGATCCCAGGAGCGTGGGTCTAGGTGGCCGAGGAGGCACAGGCCAGTTGTGCCTGGTGGGGGTGGCCTGTGGTATTATTAAAGCCAAGGGTATTATTATTCATGCATTTTAAATAGTTATACATTGCTCTTCAAATGTTTTCTTTGGCGGCTTACAACATTCTGTGTCCATGATCTAAAACGTGTGTGCCCAAATTGCCTCTCTTAATAGGTTGGGAAATACAGCTCCCATAATTCCTTGTACATTGGTGTCCACGGGAGGGGGCAGTCAGAAAAGTCATGATGGTGACTGCACAATCAAGCCCCGCGGCTTTTTTACCTGCCAGGCGAGGCCGTCGCTGTCCTGATTTAGGGATTCTGGGAGCTGTGGTTCCAGCATACGTGGAAGGCGCTTCCAGATTTAAACGTAAAAGCAGCCGTTGAAATTTCTAGCCAACTTTGGCTGATCTTGAAAAGCTAGGCAGGGCCAGTCCTGTGGTACTTGGATGGGAGACCGAAATGAAATCCCAGGGTGTTGACTGGGAAGGAGAAGAAGGAGACCAAACCGCTTCTATTCTCTTGCCAAAAAACTGCCTGAACGAGTCTGTGAAGTTACCAGCTTGAGTTGAAGGAAACTCTTAGAAAGCAGCAAAAGGAAACTTCACCAGATGCTCCCAGGCAGCATAAACGTTAACATCTAAATAATCCAGCAATATACTTTTCAAGTGCTGCAAAGCAACCAAAAACTTAAAAACAGGCCGGATATGGAGCCTTGGCAATCAGAGAAGGGTGGTTGTGTTTTCTCACAAAGCCCGTTCTCGTTTATGTGGTAACTTTGGCCTCAGGAACTAGCCCAGTGAGGGGACCCTGCTCCTGTCACCCAGGGGCTTCTGAATCATGGCACCCTCCAGCCACCTGCCAGAGGTTAGTCCAGGGGTGCACTGTGGGGTCCTTTTCTGGCAATGAGCTGAAGGGCTCCAAGGTCGGGTTTGGCCTTTTCAGTCCCAAGCGTTTCTAGGGGATTGGAAGCTAAGCCTTAGGAGACACGAGGAGGAAGAAAACCCCTTTTAGGCTGGCTTAATTTCTGGGTGCAGACCCAGATGCGGGGAGCCTCTTCAAAACCGGCTCTGCTTTTCTCCTCCTCCCTAGAACTGCTTGAGCAAGCGGCGAGTCGCAGCCGCCATCCGACAGATGCAGAAGCTGCTCTTGGCTCACGAGGAGGCCCAGGCGCGGAGCCTGCGCAGCCTGAAGAAGCAGCTTGCTCTCCTGCCAGGCGGTGCCCAGAAGCAGCTGGCCAAGCGGAACGGTAAAGGGCAGCAAACCGAGAGGTGGGTCAAAAAAGTCAAGATGGTGTCTGCAACTTTATTATAGATGCCATCTTGCTTTTTTTTGACTCCCACCACCTCTGCGGGCACCCCTGGAATGAAAGACTGCAGAATCCAGGGCAAAGGGCATTGAACTGACTCCACTGGAATAAAATGGACCATTTTATTGTACCATTTTATCACCTATCCCACCCTACCCTTTTAATCCTCCCCACAAACATGGGAGGTAGCTTGTTTCAGGGCTGAGTGGGGATTTGAACCCAGATCTGCCTTGAGGAAGTCCAGTGAACTAGCTGTTGATTCTCCCTGCAGACTGGCTCCTCCCAAAGCCAACAGGACACGATAGAAATGTCTTTGCTTATTATGTAACCCATGTTATTCCTGGGAATTAACTGAAGTCTACGGTCTAAACAACATGTCACAAAAGGAAAAAGGGGAGGGAGGGAGAAGGAAAATGAGAACTAATTCTGAATGTGGCAAAGTCCTTCTAATGGTCTTGTTAGTGCATCAGGAACACAGTTAAAAGAAATCCAATAGCTTTTTTTTTTTTTTTT